TTTTTTCCCTGTTCCTCTAATGATATAGTAGTGCAGCAGTAGCTGCTGTCTTGGCTTAGAGGAAATAAAGCCTAGACCTGAATTTTATGCTGGGACTTTCAAGTCTATATTGGGCACAGTAATAGACTGAAGAGTGCCCTGAACTACTACAATGGTTATATATCTTTATTCTACTACAAAATTTAACATCAATGCCTATAGTTTACCAACGTTCTACATTATAAGTGCCTAAAAGCCATATTTATAATATTACCAGAGAGGAGGTACTTCAGTGGTGAAATGAGAGTACCTAAGGTGGTTATCCTTTGGGCAGGGAAGGTTAAGTGTAAATTTAATAAATATGTTCAAAATCAAGCAGGTTACTGATTGTGTAGATGATGGTTTCTTTAGGCAGATCAGCCGATAGTCGGTAAAAGTGTCAGTGGATATTAGATTTGAAGAGCAAGCAAAAAACTTTTTTTTTCCTTTATTCTTTCCTGGGATGTGGATATCACTGGCAAGGCCAGCATTTATTGTCCATCTCTAAATGCACTTGAACTCAGTAGCTCACTAGGCCATTTTGGAGGGCGGTTAAGAGTCAGCCACATTGTTGTGGATCTTGAGTCACATTTAGGCCGAATTAGGTAAGGTTGGCAGATTGCCCTTCCTTAAGGAAATTTGTGAACCAGATGAGTTTTTATAATAATCAATGATCGTTTTATCGTCACCATTCTAGACTATCTTTCAATTCCACACTAATGAATTTAAATTCCACCAGCTTCCATGGAGGGATGTGAAATCATGCCCGCACAGCATTGCAGTGTTACCAAATTGTTGGAGAAACTTAGCAGGTCTGGTAGCATCTGGAGTGAAAGCAGGGTTGACATTGTATCTAGTGAACTTTTTTCAGAACTGGAAGAACTATCAGTTGTGACATTACCACTACACCACCATCTCCCCTCAACTTACGTATTATTCAGTGGTTGATAAGGGGTTGAAATATAGAAGCAAAACTACAACATCTGCAGCAATACCCTATCTATGTATGACTGAAGATCTCAACAAGCAATCTTGGATAGCCTTTAACAAGTCTTTTCCTCAATGGATGCATTCTGTCAAATTATGCATTTTGAACAGTTACGTAAATTCAAGGGTAAATCAAAAAACTGAAAACCCATGGTAGGTGTGGCTCAATGGTGGCATTCTTGCCTTTGAGTAAGACAGTTGTACAGATTCAACATTTAATGCTGTGTGGGTGTAAGAAAGAGACTGACTATACCTTGCGATATCAATTTTCTGCATTTGTTCTTTGCTTCAGTTACTTTTCTCCACCTGCAACAAACTATTCCCTAAGTACTCTGAAATCATGAAAAAGAGGCAAATTTTACATAAATCACTGATCAGCATAATGCTGCAAAGCCAAAGAATGCAAGAAAATAACAGAAAATTTTCTAAGATGAAGATACAACTTCCAAGGAAAAGTACATCTAGAAAAAGTGAATGGGTTTTAAGCTTTCTTGAGTGAATCTAAGTTCTCACCATGATCTAGAAGGACAAGGATATCAGGTAAATGGGAACACCACTACTTGCAAGTTGCCATCCAAGCTAATCACCGTCCTGACTTGGAAATATATTACAGTTCCTTTAGTGTCACTAGGTCATGGAACTCCCTTCCTAATGGCATCGTGGGTCTAACCGCACACCAAAAGAAGACAGCTCACCACCCCCATCAAGCACACCTAGAGATGGACAATAAATATTCACATCCCATGAACTTTTTTTTTCAGTAAGATGTCAAATCTTAATTTTATATGGCTCCACCTCTAGGTGCAAACATTTGTAGCGCCAACATGCTATAAGTCTCACAACAGATCACAAATGTTCAGAGTTCAGTTCCTTCTTGCAGACTTTTACAACAAGAACAACACTGACTTTGAAACCATTATAAACAGGAGTGACCAACTGCATGGTTCATATTAAGTTAAGACGGCATGAAAAAAATTGAGCATGTTTAGTTCAATTAACGTAATGCATCATCACGATGATATAATATTCACAAAAATGGACTTTTAACATTTATTTGTATCAAAGTTTATCTTTTCCTGAGCATTTACAATTTCCATACCCAAATGTCGTCCACCATCATAAGTGTTTGACCACCCTGATTTACATGCTAATAAGTTCAATGCTTGCAGGGTTACTGGCATCACTTTAAAATGGCTACTTTTTTCTAGCTATATGATATAATTTTTTACAATTATCCTTTTTTTAACCAAATTGCAACATGCACATTTGTGTTGAAATTTATTTGCCAGTTACAATACTGATTGTATAACCATGTGAAAACCAGTATACTACTATTATGTTTAAACAATTTTTCCAAAATTTATAATTTAATTTTCTTTTCACATTCATTTGTTAAATAAAAAATGGTTTCCTGTTTAAAGGTGGCAGTCTAAAATCTCAAAAAAAAGTTGTTAAAGACATGGATTGACCTGTTCTGGTAAGGGCACCTTGTAAAAAATTAAATCACTCATGAGAAGTAATTTTAAAAGAGGAAAAGTTCTGCCTTTGGCTTTTTAAAGGAATAAACAAAGACATGTTGCACAAATAGGTTTATTTTGCCTTCTACACTGTGTAACACCTAGGTGGCAAAAGAAAATCTAATATGCTTGACATCAATTTCCTGAAGAAGACCTCAAAGCTAATCTTTTGATCTAGCGGCACCAGAGTCCAACAAATACAATTTTAAAAGGCAAGTTACAATGTTGTTGCTGCCAAGCCACACCTGTAAGATCACATCTTATTGCAAGCCAAGCCATTTGTAATGGTGGTTCAATTAAATTCTGAACTATCTGCTCCTTTCAGAGACAGTCAAAAGATTATTTGAGCATCTCTCCGATTAAACCAAACTCAAAGAAAAAATTATTTCCAAATTTTAGTAAATCCTAAGCATACAATCTTGATGCAAGAAAATCCCTGCAATCTCCAACTCTGTGCGATTTATAATCCTAGATTCAATTTGCATATGCTTAATGCTATTACAGAGACACAAGAAATGCGGAAATTAGAAGCAAAAAGTGACTTCAGTGGGAATATTTTTGACCTAAAGTTTAATAGTCTTGTGCAAAGTTAACAGCATAACTTAAGAATTATGCTGAAAAGGCAAATTTTAATATGATGATTTCTGAATGTGTGGAGTCTAATAAAATTTCTATTCCTAGAAGTTATGTTTCAAATGTTAACTATAAGCTTTTGTAGCTCAAGTCTATTCCAAGCCAGTAACAAATTGAGACAAAAGAACTTACATCTTGCAAGATTAATGCTTGGTTGGTTTGTTAGCAACAATTTAACCACAAATCTAGCAATAATCTGTAAAAATCTTACAAAACTTTAAAACAGAATAAAAACACTCTTCCATTATTATGTCATATGGTTTATCTAGCAATGCTATCCAAATTTATTTACTTGAATAATGCAGATTTTAATGGTTGCTATATATTCTAAGATCTTTCCAAATGCATCAAAAATAGTGAACTGTAGCTAACATTATGCCAGTGATATAAAATGTCACAAGGAGACTGGAGATACTGGGATAGCTTTTTTGCTCCAGTGGAAATAAAGAGAAGATTTAATTTTTTTTTAATATTATGCAGGGTTTTATAAAGATGAATAAAGTAAGACTGTTTATTTTGGTTGGAGATCAGTTTTAAGGAGGCACCAAACCAAAATCGTTACTAAAAGGGGAAAAGAGAGGCATAGTTTTCCGAAGTTAGAACACAGGCCACAGCACCATTAAAAAAAAGGATAAATATTTGAAGCGGACAATGACAGTGCTTGGGGAATTCAGTTTGTCTGGTTCTACCAAAACGGTAAGTGACAGAATGTGCCAAATAATCACCTCCTTGCTGTACAAACAATTGTAATAACATTTAAAACTGATACATCATTTTTGATTCCAAACAAATTTAAAGCTTTTACAATTATAATTGGCATCGCTGGCCAGGTAGCATTTATTGCCCACCCCTAATTGCCCATTAAGAGTCAACCACATTGCTGCAGGTCTGGAGTCACATGTAGGTAAGACCAGGTAATGATAGCATTTTCCTTCCCTAATGGACATTAGTGAACCAGATGGATTTTTCCTGATAATCAGCAATAGATTTATGTTCATTATTACACTCTTAATTCCAGATATTTATTGAATTCAAATTCCACCACCTGCTGTGGCAGGATTCAAACCCAGAACATTATCTGGGCCTCTGGACTAACAGTCCAATGATAATACCACTAGGCCATTACCTCTCTTCACAGTACTACATCCTATAAAGCAAAAGTGTTCTAGGTTTCATTCCTCTGCCAAATTTGTTGGTCTCAGCTTGTTGACACGTCTCAGCGGTACCACAGTTCAGAATTTTAAAAAAATCAAATGACGGTCCTGCTCGAATAGTTAACCTGATATTTCTTCTGGAAAGTGCAACATTTCAAAGGAATCAGGGTTGAGCTCAAGCTTTGAAAACATGAAAGAAGGACAGTAACTACTTTGTGTATTACTGTTCTCATCTTAGTTAACCTCACAATTAAAATTGCATCTTTACCCTTGCTATCTCAAGCTATAATCAATAATTTGTTTACTAGATGTTTTTATTGAATGCTCCTCTACAAAATAAAAACTCCTTTGCTTCTGGATTTCACTTTTGAAAACCACTTCTTGGCAAATGTGCACATGCAACTTCTGTTTGCAGATAAGACTAATAAGAAAAGGAAAATCTAGAGAGTTATTCAACCCATATGCACAGTAGCAACAATCATTACGTCAATGAAGATTAAAGTGAAATGATCACTTCTGATCCAAATACAAAACATGGGAACCAAAGAACTGTCTCTTCCATAAAGCTGTATTGTATCATGGTATTTAATAATGTACATAAAATTCACACAGTATTCTACAGGCAGAAGGGCTCCTTTCAATGTTCATGTTTGGAAAGGTTTATAAAAGGCTCTGATTAAAATGTACCTACGTATGATAACATGGCTTTCATTTCCTCATCACTGCGTACTGTGATTCGATCGCCATCTTCATCTTCATCTTTAGAAATAAAAACACATTGTAGACATTATTTTGTTAATCGATGCTAATAGTGTGATACAGAGAATAACACGTTAGAATAGATCATTAAACAGAAGTTAGAAAGACACAGCTGACTCCAACTTGCATTACGTTATATGAATTTTGCAGAGCTTTATTTGATTAAAAATAACCTATTTTCCCCAGGCAGTTATCATGGAAGACAGTAGGCTCTCATGAATCTACAAAAGAATCTGAACTAACATGTATGTTTGGTTTGTAAAATGTTTTCATTCCATTGCCAACTGCAACCATATCTGGTCTGTCTAATACAGTTGATACACACTGTATTTTTGTAATAGACTTAATCATTTACCATCTTAAGTAACTATTCTACAATTCTATATTTACATTTACATTCAAATCAATACTTGCAAGTGTTAAAGCTTCAAAGGAGAGATTTCATGATCTGTTTTCATGATATATAATAGTTATTAGCACACAGAGTTACAACCATGAACTTGTATCCAACTCACTAAAACATCACAGCACAATAAATGTGATTAAGTCCCATCAGAATTAACTTACTCCAATATGTACACACAGAACATAAAACAGCACAGCACAGCACAGGAACAGGCCATGAATTTTATGCTGGAAGTCGACATCAACAAATGAAAAAAGGAAACTAGAATATCCATTCTCAACCTATATTACAATTATTTCAAAGGGGAGGAAATCCAGCAGTAATTTAATAGATTTTTCACCATTTCAATGCCAATCTAAAATAAAATTACACAGCAAAGAGTCATCAACTGTGGTTCACACTGTATTTGCAATTAACTACAGCGTTCACAGTGTGGCAAAATCCTTCACTCCTCAGTTAAGAAGATGTCACTAGTTAGGAATTATAAGGAACCATACAGTAGAATCAAGGTTCAGGTAAATTCATAAAACTGCCACAATTAAGCTTATGTGGTCAACCATCAAAATTCATGACTACAGCTCTTAATTCTCCAGCACCAATTCAGCAGTCAATTCATATATTGTCAGATTTTCCAAAATGCTGCTCAAGGGGAGTTGAAAGATATGCTGTTATATCCAACACATTATGCAATACACTGTGTGATGGTTAAGTTGTTATCCATTATTGTAAGAATGTTAGGAGTAGGGTAAATGCTTCAAAATGCAGATATAGCCCATAGGTGTAAGGTTTATCCATTTCACGTGTACCATTGCAGTATTCAGGAGTGGATATGTCATTTACTCAAAGTGCCTTCTGAGGGTGGCCTTGAGATCCATCCCTTTCTTTTAGCTTTACTTTTGGCATTCTCTGTCACCATGTCCTCTTGCCCCTCCCCACACTCCAGTGGGACTGTCTGTTCTTTCCAATTTGGCGGTTAGACACACCACTGTGCTGCCATTCTTGCATTCCGATCACCTAGGCTGCTAATACTGCAGATTTTCTCACCCAACACTCCACTGTGCACTCCCACCCGCCCCGACTATTGCATAAATGCTGTCCCCCCCTCCACACTTCATGTCAACTCTGATGAAAAGTCATCTACACTCGAAACGTTAGCTTTCTCTCTCTCCATGGATGCTGCGTGACTCGCTGTGATTTCCAGCATTTTTTTGTTTTCAGTACAGATTCCAGCATCTGCACTAATTTGCTCCTACTGGCCTTGAGATTTAGTTGCAGTTTTGAGAGGTAGTGTGGTGAGAAAGTAGTGGTGGAGTATACTTATAGAAAGTGGGGGTACTGTACAGTTTTATGGCATTCGGAGGGCAATATTGGTATGTGAAAGCACTAAGACGAAGTTAGTGGGCTACTGGAGCCCTTGGGGGATAAATGTTCAGTAGCAAATAGTGGAAAGAGACACCCCATAATTTAACAATGTGTTGGAACAGGATTGAAATTCTGAATTAATGGGACGATGATACCAGAAACCTGGTTTAGTGTACTGGGAAAGGTTCCGGCGTATGGTAGCAGCAGTGATAACGAGATTATTTCAGTATATGGGAAGAATGGGTTAAGGTTAGGTGTAAGAGTTTGTTCAGTTTTAACATCTGAGAATAATGTACTGGGATAAGGCAGTGGTGAAAGACCAATATCAGGGAATAAAGTAAAGATGTTGTATGCAAGATAAGAAACCTTCTGTTTAAACAATGTTGCGGAGGAAAGCCACAGAAGCAAGCCAATAAATGTTCTACAGAATCAAAAATTCTTGCCGTGAGGAAACAGTACCAAGAGACACAAAAGGTATGAAAATATTTAGTAACTTCAAGGATTAATCTCAATGGGAATTGGCTTTCGTACTACAGTTCAAAAATGACAATGTGCATAAGCATCCCTATACCACCTGTTCTGGAGACATAAGAAGCAAGACTCAAATAAAGTCAAGGAAAGTTCAATATTTTTAGAAAATAGAAACAGACAATAGTAACTCATTATTGTTACAGAAAATGATACACAAGGTGTTTCATACATAAAGCTTCAATACATACCCTCTCTGGACACAGATATGTACATTTTTTTTTTAAATGGCCAAATCAGTGCTGTCCTATCCCCACACCCTCTCAACCATCCCAACCCATAAATGCATTGATAACAAAAGGTAGTTGGACTTCCCACAGCAGAGCTTTCCAAATATTTTCCCACTGTGACCTCAAATTGAGGCTTGAAAACTGCCACAAGCCCTCAGGGAATGAGGTACAGGATACCGGAGATCCATGGCTGCTTCAGAGTTGCAACCCCAAAATTTCAGCTTGTGACCCCACTGGGATCTGGAGCCCAACTTTGGGAGGTCTGGTACTACTGCTTAAATTTCTAAAATTCCATAAATTACAAGATATAAAACAATCACAAAGTAGTATTCAAATAACAGATGCTTCCTAACCTTTAAAATTCTTAAATCTTATGTGGTAATTTAAAAGTTATGCATGTTGCATAATCAAGAACAATTATTTAAGCAACCATAACAAATAGCATTCTTTGCCAAAAAGTATATTTTTAAAAGAAATTTTCATAGGTGTGGACTTGCTGGTAACACCAGCATTTTCTTGTCCATCTTTATTAACCTAAGAAGCAGCAAGCCATCTTTCTGAACCACTAAAGCCCATCTGCTATTTGTATACCCACAGTGTTACTAGGGAGGGAGTTCCAGGATTTTCTCCAGGGGCAATGAAGTTTGATTAAGGTTTGAAATCAGGTTGGTGCATAACAGAGTTATCAGATTTTGAAGATGCTGAAGGTGCCCTGGGGTGAGTTGCTACAGTGCATCTTGCACATGGTACAAACTGCTGTCCTACATCATTGGTCGAAGGTGTGAATTTTTAGACCGGAGGATGGAGTGTTCATTAAGCAGGCTGTTTTGTCCTATAACTTCTCCATTGAATCCATTTCAATAAAGCCTACAGAATACTAGACATTAAATCAAAATTACCTAAAATAAAATCAGAAACTAGATAATATGTATTTCTATAATTTCAGTCCATTTTACATATTAAGCATTAATTTACTTACACTCAAAGGCTGTGGTTGTTGTATCCGGCAACACCTGACCAATAACATCCTAAAAACAAGAAACAAAATTGATCATTCTAAAGCAGATCTAGGGCGAAATTACATTCAAAGACGAAGTAAGATACATTTTAAAAATTGGATAAATAATTTGTTGCCTTGTTCCCTGCATAAATGTTGCCTGTTTACTCCCAACTTGTATCAGAGCAACCTGTAGGTGACTTCATATCTAACTCTCGCCTTCTTTAAGTAACGTGTGACCCCTGCTCCCACTCCCACCTCCCTAACCCCCAGAACCATGACTGAGATCAGTGACTCAGGATATAAAGCAAAGACCCAAACTTGCATCACATAATGGCTTACTGCATCGGTTCTAGAATGGAGCTTTAATTGGAAATCCCACAGCTTGTCTTAGGAAAGCAGGGGTTGTGTTTTATATAAATATAATTAATACTGGATCCATGCAGCAGTTTGAGTAAAATCTTTTTTGCTTTTCCATTAGGGACACTCTGTTCCTGAACCACTATAGCCCATCACTGGTCCTCACCACTCCTGGCATTGCCACAAAAGTTAGTGAATTAATCAAAGTACGTAAAGTCTCCAATTTACCTGTCCAATAGAATCGGTTAACAGATAACACCAACCAGGTCCTCACAATTATTGAGAACTATAGTTTGTTACAACTAAGTAGGTTCTAGCCACAGGTGAAAAAAAGTTATGAACTATCAACACATAACTCTACTTGTTGAAACTTGAAACCCGAAACCCATTAATCCCTACATGTGCACACACACACACAAACAAATCATTAGGCAAAAGAACAACTGGAAAACACAGTTCAATAGCACCAGCCCAGAGGGTTTAATGATATGTTCCTTTTACTTTCCAACACCCTCTGTTCCTTCCACCAGGTTCTGTCACTTCTTGCAGGAGGAACATGGCAATTTGTACACTTATTAGAAAGTCTCTTAATTACTGGTTAAGAGCAACAGTTTACAGCAAATGGTGGAAGAAAATAACTGGCTTTATTCAGGCTTCAGGTACTTGTAATTCTGAATACTTGTAATACTGAACCTGCTCTTCCAGTAGTCTGAAGGCTTCTCATCCTCTACTGTAAACCCACAAGCTGGCTCCTGAGCAGATGAACAATCATAGATCTGTCATTTGGCTGATGACTTCTGGCAGCCACAGCTGGTCACATCTGCACAAAACAGTTACTTATTGCCAACCAAATCTCTCACTGTGCACATACACTACAGTGCCATGCTATTTTATAACGCCTCCCCAACTCCTTGCAAAGCAACAGTGTAAACACAACTCACAATGAATTCCAGTAGCTTGTATGAAAACTTCATTAATTCCTTCCTAAAAACAGCAAGATCCCATTTTAATTTGCAATCAAAAAATAAATAAAAAGATGCCATCTTAACAGTTCCATGTGGCATCCTTTTTATTTTGTGCCCCTGGCTCTAAACTCTCAGATAGGGGAATCATCTTACTTGCATTATCCAGTCTATCCCTTTAAATATTTTGTAGGTTTTAATGAGATCACTACCCATTCATCAAAATTCGACAGAATACAGGATCAGTTTCCCCAACTACTCTCCATAGTTGTGGCATCCCAAAACAAGTTTGGTGAACTTTCATCCCTGTATTGCAATATTTTCCTTCCTTAGGTAAGGAGACAAAAGCTGCAAAGTACTTCAGGTGCAGTCTAACCAGAGATCTACATAGTTGAAGAAAGATTTCAGTACTACTGTACTCAAATCATCTTCCAATGAAAACTAACACATACTATTAGTCTTCCTAATTGTTTGCTGCATCTCTATGCGAGTCTTTAGTGACTTATTGACAAGGACATCCAAGTCTCTTTGTACGTCTACACTTTCTCATCTCTTACCATTTGGATAACCACACATTTCCCCATATTATATTCTATTTGCTATATTCTGCAAGTCTGTCCCAATCCCCTTGAGGCTACTTCATGTCCTCCTCAGACCATGCATTCCCATCTAGGTTTGTGTCATCAGCAAACTTTGAAATATTACATTGAGTCCTTGTATCCAAACTCATTGTTACATTTTGTGAACAGCTGGGGCTCCAAGTAATGATCCTTGCAGAACCTACTAGTCACAGCTTGCCAACATTAGAATGACCTGTTTATTCGTATTCTTCATTTTATGTCCATTTGCTCATCCTTAATTTAGGCCAGTGTATTAACACCTATCTCAGGTGGCTTTAATTTTGCGAATCAACCTTCTGTGAGGGACTTTATCAAATGTCTTCTGAAAATTCGAAGTATACTTTGTCCACTGATTCCACTTCATCAATTCTGTTATTAATATCCTTCGAAAGCTCCAACAGATTTGTCAAAGCACGATTTCCCACTCACCAGTCCATGCTGACTGTGCTCAATCAGATTGCAACCAGAAACAATCTCTTGTTTGTGGGACTACAAACATTGGTGTTGCACATACTTATCGGTATACTTGAACTGTATCTGTTTGCTACCAGTGCCAAAGTCTTTTGGTAAGTTCCAAGTTAAAAGCATGAAGCTCCAGAGAAAACTAACACTTTTGCTTCAGGATTGAGATAATGAGATGCTCACTAACTACCCGATTTTGTTAATGTTCACAAGAGTGATCCTTTAAAGCGCTTCTGTCCTAAACTTTTGCTCAGCTGGAACACCAATACATAATTTTGTACTGAACAACAGGTAAAATTGTAAAATGTCATTGTTGTGCATCACAGTGCTGTACCACACAAAGTCATCCCATTTTCAACAATCAATTTTGGAATTTCTTCACAATTTTCAGAGTTGTTCATTATTGGATGGCAATAAATATAGAATTGAAGACTGTTACAGAGATAGTAGGAACTGCTGATGCTGGAGAATCTGAGATAACA